TCTTTCCACCTCCGTTACAGCAGTGTCAGCTCTGGCAAAAGGGAGGGTAGAGAAGAAGCCAGGTGCACAGTGCAAGAGTAATGGCCAGAGGGAGATTTCACCACTTTTTTAAATAGCCACTTGATGTGCATGTCAGCAGCAAAAAAAAAGAGGTGGCATCCCCCATAGCAGCAGAAAACCTCCAGCCTCTGCTCCTGTACCATGGGCTGCCACTTCACAGGGGGCAGTCCTGGCCAGCTGCACCTCTGCTCATAAGTAGCCACTTGGGATGGGATTTTCAAAAGCCATTACAAAAGAACTCCCATTTGACTACAGCAAGGGTTAAGATGGAACAACACAGAGCAATTATCCAATGTGAGTGCTTGGGAGTGAAGTTGAAAACCCAGCTGGTCCCTTCCTGTCCTGAATTCCTGTGATCCAGTGAGTGACTCCTCTGAAAGTAAATGCTGACCTGCAGCCTACCCACAGCATGACACAAATGGGGCTAGGCTACTTCCAGTTCAGGAGGTAGTCCAGACCCAGCATAGCAGCTTGCTCTGTGGACCTGCCCTTAATCTCTTCTTGCCTCAGTTCTCCACTGTGTGGGGCTAGTGCTTCCTCTCTCCCAGATGTATTTTATTCTGTTTATTCAAACTGTGAACCAAGTTGTGTAGGGCAGGAAGTGCTTCGGATGATGCATAAAAATAGCATTGGACCCCTCCACGTACACCCCTATCTCAATTGGGATCTCTGGGTTCTAGCTTAATATCTCTTCTGCAAAATGTCTAAAGAAAATCACTCTTGCAAACAGTAGCAGCTGACAAGAGTGTTGGGATTCTCATTTCAGTGCAAACATAAAATAACTTTCATAGATTCATAGATGTTAGGGTCAGAAGGGACCTCAATAGATCATTGAGTCTGACCCCCTGCAGAGGCAGGGAAGAGTGGTGGGTTTAGATGACCCCAGCTAGGGTCATCTAAACTTTATTATCTTAAACAGAAGTTTTCCAGTTTTCTCCCACCATAACGGGATTGAGTTGTGTGCCATGCAATTTATTTCCATGTGTGAATAATAGCATTAGTGTATTAACAATATAATAAATGGGATGGCAGACTGACATATTTCTAATTTGACTGTGCTCCAGCAAAGGCAAAGTAAAAATTTCCATTTGAAATAACCATTATTCTGCTACCTTGTGACTTATTTTTGCTCTTTTCTTTTGGGGTTTAATAGGCACTGTATTGTCAGTCAAATCACTTTTTAAATGTCCATTTCCTGTATATAGTCAAAGCCTTGTGAGGAAGAATTCATTCATGTTACTAATGGTCCTTATTCAAACCAGAATCTAGGAGAATTTAATTACCCTTTAATGTCCTACATTGTTCTTCCATCTTTGCCATCAGTGTAACATTAATCTCTCAGCCACTCATTCCATTACTTGTTGAGACATTTAGGAAATTGCATAATTACAGAACAAGGCTGTTCTACCCTTTTGGAAATACATTTTCATTTGTTAGTCTGTACTAAAATCTGTTTTTCCCTTTTTTTAAAAACAAAAACTGTTTTGAGACTATCTGTGAAAACATAATGTAGGCTCATGTTGAAAAGAGCATTGGCTGGGGGGGGAAGATTGCTGTTTAATTAAGCATCAACATAAATAACCAGGTATTATAATTATATATGCTCAAAAAGTGCACTCTTTGTTATAGTGAGCAGTGCTGCTGTCTTTCAGGGAAACTGTTTTATTTATATTGGTAAAAACAGGGATAAATTATCCAACGGTGTTTCTTTAATTTTTCAGATCTAAAGCAAATTTCAGTCCAGATAAGCATTATCAGTAGCTGAGCTAGACCGACCAAACATTTTGGTTAGAAATCAAGCTGTATATTTTCATGGAAATAGGGTTGTGTCCATATATATACAAACGTATGTGCAAGAAAGGAGGATTCGGTGTGATTGTACTTATCTCAGAAGATGAACATTCTATGAGAACAGCATTATGGATATATAAAAGATATGTATGGAAGTAAAAAAAATACCAGCTGTACAGAATGCTTGGATCTTTTATGAGTTAAAAATTGCATGTCAACTGAACCATCTCTCTGATCCCAAAAATCTTCTTTTCTAATCTATTCTTTCATTGTGGAAGTGATGTTTCAGTGCAAATTTAGAAATGAGCAAGAATAAATGTTGTTGAAGCAATGTCAGTAAAGAGGAGAAACTCTTTCAGCTGACTTCTTGTCTAAAAGATCTGACCACATGGTCTTTCTAGGCACTTTAGAAATTTGTAACCATTATGACTTTTTCAGTGTATGGCCCATTTATTATCAATATATCAAGTGCAGAGAACTGGGAACGTGTGGACTTTACACACAGTTTCCCGTGTTTCTCTATATAAAACAATACTGATCCATAAAGATGAGCACCGAAATCCATATTTAGGCATCTAAATAAGTACCTTAACTATTAAAGGCTATGACCATCCATAGCTCCCATTGCTTCATTTCTTTAGATCTCTGAATAAGTATCTCAATATGAGCAGCGATGTTTAAAATGTTAAGGTACAACTTACAGAACCTGCAAGAGGCCTGGACCTGTGTGCATTAGAGAAATCTCATCTTTGGCTAAGTACAGACATTCAAAAAGTCTTGGGCAGATTCTAACTATTTTACATGGGTTTCTGTAAGTGGACTAGGTTAGTTCAGTAGTGAACAGAGCACAAGTTCACCCTTTGGTGGGGGCGGGGGCACGCAGGCTACCTGCACTGCCCAAGGCCAGCAGGTTGGGGCACTCCTACACTGCTGAGCACAGCTAAGCGGCTGGACCACCCCAGTTGGCTGCTGGGCACATGCCCCCTTCCCTTTGCCAGTCCTCTGTCAGTCCCAGAAATGTCAGATGCAGATGAGCAGTGGAAGTAGTGCAGTCTGCTCCCTAGGTTTGCGCTTGCTCATAGGGGGCATTGGGTGGGCTCCCACTCACCCACCCAGGGACCCCCATGTCCCACGAGTGGGTGCAGACCCAGGGAGCATAAGTGGGCTGCAGGTAATGGGCAAGCACCCCTCCCTTTCCCCTTCCCTATCATCATCAGACACTGTAGCAACTGCACTTCTTAGAGCCCGAGGCAGAGCCAGCTGGGCACTTGGCCGGAACAGCCAAATGCAGGCCAAGTTCTAGCACACCTAGCGGGAGCCAACAAAGGAGCCTGGGATGGTAGAGGACAGCAAGCTAATTTGATTCAATAGAGGAACTGGTATAGAAGTTTGCTGCTCTGGACTAACCTAATTTGAATGAGTTTGAGTGCACATTGATCCAAGAGTATCTCAGAGCAGGTTCCACCATTTTTAGTCCCAGTTATGTGCCCCAAGCATCTGTACAGTTATCAGTTTGGTTCATATTCTGATCACTTAGTGCAAATAATGCGTAACCTAGTCTTTGACTCTATAACTTACAAAAACTCATCTGAAACGAACTATATTTTAAAGAACTTCTTCTGTATTGTCTCTTGTTTATAGAGTATTTTCTTCAGGAAATGTCATATTTAATTTATTTTTTCATACTGTTTCTTTTATTCATCTTTTTTATATATGTATACAAATCTTACTGTTTTTTTCTCAGGGACATAATGCTTTAGAACAAGCTGTGTATGAATCTTTACAACAGTTTGTGTGGGGCAAAAAATCACTAGATCACATTAGCATTGGTAATAACATTATATCAATTAGCAATGTTAAGCCCTAGGTCATATGAAGAAGGCTATGCATGGTGATAAAAATAACCAGTGTAATTTCATCCAACAGGAATAAACCTTCAAATTATTAGTTGAGCTTCATTATAAATCTTTAGTCAATGCACTTGATTCTCCTAGTATAACTTCACATCACCCATCATTGCTCTTTTCACTTTTCTAGTCATTACTGTACATGGATATCAAAGCAACAAGCCAGTCTCGCTGGTCCATTTTGGCTGCTTTATACTGC